GGGGGGGGGGACGAAGCGAGTCTGGAAAAGGCGTACAAGTCAAGGGATCGGCGAGAAGACATGTGCATGCGAATGGGATATGATATCAGAGACTCGTTGGGGGAGGAGGGGGGGCGGCAAAGTCAGGAAAGTGGGAAAATGGGGTGGAGAGGCGCGAGCGCAGCACAGAACACGATGGTTGACATCACAGCTGTTCAGCACCTCTACTGACAGCGCCAAAGCGTTTCGTCACCGCTCTCTGCTGCTCGTCAAACGCGTATCCGTTGGCCTGGAAGAGTCTCGAGTTCAAGAAAGGTCTGACATCAAAGATGTTCAGTTCCTTTGCCTTGCTTTCGAGCGCATTGAGCGGTACCGACACCATTTCAGCTTGAGCCTCTTCAGGATGCCTTCTCCTATGCGCAACGGCCGCAAATCTCATTCTATCCTTGACCAATCCACCGAGCAAAAAGGCCAGCAGCTCATCGTGATCTCTACTGCTGTGCAGGTATTTTCTGAATCCCCGCTCCAACGTCCTCTTGATGCTCATTTTTTGCGCGCTCACAAAGCTCTCCACCGTCGTTCGTATGGCCAAGTCGATGTCGTCCGCTCGCACATAATCGCGCAGGTGCATCTTGGCGCTCGCTTCCGCCATCCTGATCATGCTCTCCAGGTGCCTCACAGTGATGGGGTAGCTTCCCGTCGACAAGGATTCTCGCCTCAGATCAGCATAGAGCCTCGCCATCCTATCCTGATCGAGCGAGTGCAGCTTGGGTCTGACGTGCGCGCGCGCATACATGATGTACTTGCGCAGCAAATCTTGAGGGATAATGTCCGCATCTAGAGACGTCGCCACTCTCGACTCGTCAACATCTTCGTCGAAGCGAGGGTGTGATCGCAAGTGCGATCCCACCACGAAGCGCGCCAGCATGTCGTCCTTGACCGGGTCCACCGTGTCTTTGACGACGCAAAGCACGTCGAAACGCGACAAGATGGGTTCGGTGAGCTCGACGTTCTGCGCAAAGGGAATAGTTGGGTTGTAGCGCTGCGCGGTATCCAGACAGGTAGCTTTGATCATCAGCGACTGTGATCTCAGAGGTTTGAAGCGTCTTTGAAGGGACTCACACCACGTGTAGGGTTAGCAGCGGCGAGGATCGCACACCTGGCTTGCAGGGTTGTGACGATACCTGCTTTACTGATGGAGATGCTTTGTTGTTCCATCGCCTCGTGGATGGATGTTCTATCGCGCGACAATATAGTCGACATCAGTACGCGCGCTCTCATCGACTCATTGTTGCGAATCCTGACTTACCTGTCAGCATCATTCATCTTGTCGAACTCGTCGATGAGGCAAACGCCCTTGTCTGCGAGTACCAGAGCACCGCCTTCCAGGGTCCACTCGTGGGTCACGGGGTCTTTGCGGACGCTAGCAGTGAGACCAACGGCGCTAGCTCCTTGACCAGTGGTGAAGACTGCTCTGCTCGCAGTCTTTTCGACGTATTTCAAGAATTGCGACTTGGCCGTTCCAGGGTCACCGAGAAGAAGTACATTAATATCGCCTCTGATACGATGCTTGCCCCCTACGTCCTTGGCGCATCCTCCAAAAAGGGAAAGCGCAATGGCAGTCTTGATGTCTTCGTGACCATAAATGCTGGGCGCCACGCTCTTCAAGATACGTCGTCCAATGCGCTCGTCCCTGGCAAGCGCTCGCACAGCTCTCTCGTCCTCTTCCGTCATGCGGAACGCAGCATACGCATCGTCCCTCTTTGCAATGTGGTTCGCTTCGAGCACAGTAGCAAAGACTGGGAAACCGTTCTTGGTGTTCAGCGCAGCGTCAAAATTGTTGCGGTAGATGCCCGTCACCTCCACCTCTTCTCCGGGCTTTGCGCTGTCGATCAAGTCCCAAAGGAGGATGACCTCGCGGTGTCGGGGCAGCCTTCCAGGAGGCACACTACCGGGCGACTCTTGCAGAGTCATCTTTTGATAATTGCGGTACACGGTCTGCTCGCTGTTGACTTGAAACGGGCCTCTCTTGGAGCAATTGTTGCAATAGCTGACTTTGACTTCCTGATTCGCGTCCTGAAAGAAGGGACCGAGAACAGCGCCGCACGAGAGACAGTCGAACTTGACGTACTTGAGTTGTGGAAAGACGCCGGTGCGGCGAGTCACAACGCCAGACACGCGCACAAGCGAATTGAGGTGCTCTTGACGAAGATCGCGTAGAGTCGAAGAGGTTGGCAGATCGGAGATGCGCACGTGGATTTCGGGATGGATGCGGTCGTAGTGCGGGTAGTATAGCATGATGACGTCGAAAGCGACCTGATCGAAAATAGGAAGCATGGCTGCGGGGGAGTTTGCCAAGAAGTAGGCCAAGATCGCCTTGCTGTCGACGAGATGCAGGAAAGATACCTCGAGTGACTCGGAATTGACTGCGTGCATGGACCAAGCGATCAATCAATCTCTTCAACAGATGGGCGACTGCATCCAGTACTCACGTTCACCCAGCACTTTGATGCGTTGGCCGTACACGCTAACACCATTATCGTCGACGTAGGTGACCAGGAAATTTCTAAATTCCCTCTCGATCGTGCGGCGAACGTTCTCCGTAGCGACCCAAGAGGCGATGCTGTCCGTCTTGACGTCTCCGAGTTGTTCGAGTGGCAAGTCTTCAGCTCCAACATCAAACTCTTCTTCCATGCGCTCATCGTAATGACGTCTACGACGACCTCCTCCCACCACGTCTCGATCCTCGTCCTCGTCGTCCGACTGCAGGAATGCAGGCGCGCGAGAACGACGAGCACCTGCTCCGGCTGCTGCGCGCTCTTGACGATCACGGCGAGCCATCTTGAGCTCGGCTACGCGACGCGCTTGAGGGTCCATCTCGTCAACCGAGACATCGTCGTCGATATCCTTGGGGTCATAAGCGTCCAAGGCGGCATTGCCATTGTAGTCACTGCCACGCCGTCAAGTAAGAATGAATCTGTCAGTCTTGCATCTAGCTGACCTCTATTGGCCTGCTGCTGCTACTCACTCTTCCATTCCTTCAGCAAACAGGTCCTCCCCCTCTTCGTCGTCCTCGTCATCTCCGAGTGCGCGCGCGTCATTCTCTTCGTCGATCACATCCTCTTCATTAGCTTCATCAGCATCCGAAGCAAAGTCGCTGAATCCCGCACCTGGAGGGCTAGAGGGAGGAAGACTAGAAGGAGGGGGACTAGATCGATTGCTAAGAGCTCCTGGAGTCGAAGCTGCCAACGCCCCCAATCCTGCCCCGCTAGGTCCGTCGGCTGGGGAAGAGGCGTCCAGAGGACCTTGACCCAATGTACCTCGCGTTGGCGAGCGACGACGCTTGCGAGAAGTGTCTTGCTGCTGAGACTGCGAGGTGAGGAGGAGGAGGAGGAGGAGGGCAAGTCAGCATGCGATGCCTTGTAGCGAGCGTGATGAGCACTCACCATCGTGTAGATTCGTTGGTAGCTGCGGACGGGATGGCCTTGACCAATCGAAGGCTGGAGAAAGGGATGGATGGTGGTGGATGGCCAGGCGAAGGGATGTGGGATGCGGGATGCGGGATGCGAGATGCTGGTCAAGTCAAGACAAGCTTGGCTCACGGCCCGAATGGGTCTGTCTGCCTGCACCCTAGCTTGAGCCATGCACACGCAGGCCAAGTCCTCGTTGGAATCGTGAATGTGCTCCCGCGTCGTTGCCCTGCCCTGCCCTGCGCCGCGTGTCGAACCGTGTGATGCCTCTCATAGGGCAAAACGCGTCAGACTCACAACTCAAGACTCGCATCCAACGCGCAAAGAAGGAACGCGTGGACGCGTCAAGTCGGTCGGTCGGTCGAGCGCGTAAATTGACGCGTCGGTGAGTGGGAAAGTGCGTGCGCGGTGGTGCAAGAAGGATAGTTCTAGATTGAACGATATGCTAGCCCCAGCGACTCCACTTTCTCAGCGAGTGCACTAGCCTCACCTGCGGAAAAAGTAGTGGAGAGGGTTGTATGCGCTGCGCTCACTAGTCATCCCTCATCCCTCGCCAATCCCCCTTGACCACCACGCACCAAGCAAGCTATCCTGAAGCATCATGCCGATCAATCAACCAGCCAACGTCATCAAGTTGACCAACGTCTCCGTCGTTCGGTACAAGCGCAGCGGCAAACGTTTCGAGGTTGCGTGCTACAAGAACAAGGTTCGGGAATGGAGGACAGGAGTAGAGAAGGATTTGGACGAGGTGCTTCAGATCAAGAGCATCTTTGTCAATGTCTCAAAGGGGCAGACTGCTAGCAAAGAGGATGTTGAAAAGGCGTTTCCCGGTTTGAATACGGATGAGGCGCTGCTTGAAGTGAGTTTGCGCTTGTGCCACCATGCAAGGACCGAGAATGTCTGCCCCCCTTTTCCCTTGCTGACCGGTGCAAACCTCTTCCCGCACGGAATGGATGGGGGGACGATGATAGATATTGAAAAAGGGCGATTTGCAGGTGGGAGAGAAGGAACGCTCTCATGAACTGAGCAACTCGTTCAGAGAGATTGCGACTGGAGTGGCGGAAAAATGTGTGGACCCCGGATCCCAAAGACCTTATACCGTCGGCATCATCGAAAAGGCCATGCACGATGCTGGGTACAGCATCAAGACGGGCAGGAGCGCCAAACAGCAGGTGAGCAGAGTGTGCATTCCCATCTGGTCTCTAGTCGATCTCGTTGCGCTGAGACGTGGCGGCTTGCTTCTCATCCCAACCCGCGAAAGGTGTTGGACGTGATCAAGCTGCTGCAATCATCCGACACGCTACCGATCGAAAGGGCAAAGATGCGCGTGAGGATAACCATGTCCAACAAGGAGGGCAAAAAGCTCAAAGAGAAGCTACTGCCGCTGGTGGAAAAGGTCGAGGAAGACGATTGGACGGAAGATTGGGAACTTGTGAGTTGCCTTCTTCGCTTCGCAATCGACTGGGGGGGGCGGTCGTGCGCAGAGAAAGCAAGAAACAAGCCAAGGGATGCGACTGTGTGCCAGTACTGACTCGAAACCTCTCACCACACTGACCAGATCGCATCGATCGATCCGGGAGCGTTGCGCCAGATCAACGAGTTGCTGGAAAATGAGACGAAAGGAAGAGGTCGAGTAGAGACGCTCAGCTTTTCCAGCATTGCCGACGGAGACGAGGCGCTGGAATGAAAAGGTAACAGTGAAATCACATTTATTTCGAGGTCAGCTCGAAACTGCATCTCGCGCCGTGCTCAAAGCGACACGCGTGTGTGAAAGTCGCGGCTCACGTTCAATTCTGAGACTGTATTTGACTCGGAGATGTGCTCCACAGGCCTGAACGAGTGTAGATAGCTTGCCTCGCCCAAGTGCTGCTCAGCACAACGCTGCCTACTCTATTGGTCACCGCGATATCACGCAGCCACGAGTGAAGCTGTAGGGTCACGATTGAGCACCGGCAAGGAACTCGGTCATGTGCAAGGAATCGAGCTCTGTGTGATTGTCTGATCTGCAGCTTTATTGCTCGACTCGAGATGCTTTTGAAAGGCAACACGATCCGAGCCAAGCGTCAAGAGTAGAGAGTCACGAGCCAGTCGTCAGTCAAGAAACGAGTCAATCAAGACGGCGCGTTGAGGCCGACACGTGACGCGTCCTCGAACGCGCTGAGCAACGCGTCCAGCAGCAGCAGCAGCTGCGCGCGCGCCCCCAAAAAGTCGGCTGCATTCTTGATTCTCATTGATTGCCATTTCGCGCACGCGATCTCGGCTCGCACGTGCTATCAAGATTCGTTGCTCGGTGCTGCTTCCTTTCCACACATCACAAGTGGTGAATCTGGTCTGCCTGAATCAGCACGGCTCTTCAAAACGAGCGGCCCTTTCAAGCTTCTCATCACGCCGCGTTGCGAGCCCTACTTCGAATCTTGCATCTTGCATCTGTTACAGTAGTTCAGTCCAACTGCTTATCCCTCGGACGACCGAGGAATACCAGAAACAAAACAACAGGCGGCGTACCCTTAGCACCTTGACGCATAATCGCAATGGAGGTATGTTCCCCTCGTCGTCTTATGACCAAGCGTGTCGGAGCAAGCGCTGAAACTCGTTTCTCAAATCTATTTTCCACTTCGTGCTCTTGCGAGCAGGCTGACTCGCCAGTCCAAGCATCGCACCCCACTGCAGGATCTTCTCAAAAGAGCTTCTTCGAAAAGGAGAGGGAAAGATTGGTCGTGGAGATTGCAGAGGTGAGCGGGTGCTGCAGCAGGGCTTGTAGGAACATAACATGTTGGGGAGCAAGAGAAGAAGTGCGATGGCCTATCAAAGCCCCCCCCCAAGAGGACATTGCAAAAGACCTGCAGCAAGGGCTCGTTTGCTCTGTTCATGAGAACAGGCAGTGGAGTGAGACGTACGACCAAGCCTGGCACGTCACGCTTGGGCGGAAACTGCTAGGCTGGCAGAGCTCGTATGGCGGCGCAGGTGTCGGTGACGTCGGAGGAGCGGAGCAGACGTTCAACTTTTACAATTTCATCGAGACGGAGGGTGGGGGAGAGGGAGAGGGGTGGGAGCGGCGCATCGATCGCTGCGTGACCTACCCACCCCAGCACTGACCCCCAATCTCGCGTGCGCAAAGTCAAAACATGCTTTGAGAGCATATACTGACGCTGCAATCTTTCCACGTGATATCCCGTGGCTTGCATCTTCAAAGGGCATCGGTACGATCATCGACCATTCCAACGCGCTCAATCGCAAGTTGGAAGAGTCCATTTCTGTCGGGAAAGAGTTTGAGCCGATAGCAGGTTTATGGGGCAGGTTCACAGAAGTCATGCGAGCAGCTGGAATTCCCGATCTCAGCGGCGCGTCTACCGGTGGTGCGGGGTCTGGAGTTGGAGAAGATGGTGGAGCGGATAATCAGGATGGAACAGCTGGTAATGCTCAGCAGGATGGATTGAGCAGGAGTCAAGGAGCTGATACGGCATTGCCTCCCGGTGTGGCACCCGGCGGTGGCATCGTCTATGGCAGAGACGCTTAGTGAGACGCTGCTGCGCGAAGGCGACTACCGGTCGCTTCCCGAGCATGCAATTACTCCCCAAGGGACTCCCTCCTTCATGTATTTGTAGACCCCTTGATCGGCTCGAACCTCACGCGTTCAATGGCGCCGCTTTCTGCACGTTGTGCTAGTCCTGCGCGCTCTGTTCAAAATCGGCTGAAGCTGAAGAAAAGAGGTGATCGATGCAGACACGCAAAACGGAAACTGTCTGCTCAAGGCTGGTCGCGCGCCCAGCGATCGAGGAGTCATTGGGCGAAAGAATCATGTAGTAGCGAGTCTGAGTACACATCTGGCAATGTGGGGATAGCATCATGAGGACATTCTCGAGTGAACACAAGGAACCGGGCAGGACCGAGGCATGCGCAGCTGTCTGCCAAGTGAAAAGCAAGAACCGTCGCGTATCATCCTCAGGCGCCTTCAGATTTGCGCTTCTTCTTCTTCTCCCTCTTGAAGGCATCCCCATCCGTCTCTGCAGCTTCAGCCTCAGCCGCTCTCTTCTTCTTTTCCTTCTTTTCCTTCTTCTTTTGTTCCTCTGTGAGCAAAGTCGAAGCGTCTGCCGCGCCGGCGTCCTGGGCGGCAGCAGCCGCCTTGGCAGCCTTCTTTGCGGCTTTGCGTTCCTCCTTTGACAACTCCGCACTCGCATCCGTCTGCGTGATGGAGAGGTCCACCTCGCTTTCCGCAGCTGCCGATTTCCTCGCCTTCTTTTGCGCTTTCCTCTCCTCCTTACTGAGCTTGGCCTCGCCATTGGGTACTGCATCCACGTCCATAGGCTTGGAAGAGCTAGATGCTGCAGCAGCATTCGACGAGGGTGTGCCAAACTGTCTCGCAGGCACGGAATCGGCAGCTGCGTTGTACGTCCTGCCGCCTGAAGGCGTGAACGCTGTCTGTTTGGGACCAGCGCCAGGTCCGGATCGTAAGCCGGCAACGTCCGTACGATGCTCCAGACCTCTCAGCCGCGCTTCCAGTCGTCCTCGCTCTTGTAGACCAATCGTGGGGGCAGTCTCGGCTTCCGCATCTGCTAGCGCATCCAATCTGATCGAAAGGGCTGCCTTGGTAGCAACCATTCTTGCCATCTGTGAAGGAATGCAATTCTCAAATGAGCTCACGCGTCTAATCAACGGCTTCACCTCCACGAGCCTCACCTTTCCCTTTAGCTTCTGAGGCGCTTGACCAACCAAAGAAGAATGGTAAATCAGTCCGTACTTCGGTGTATCGTGCTTTGTCTTGAGTGCTCTGAAAAGGGCCTTCTCTGCACCAAGAATTTGGACGGTACTGCGAGCAGATAGGGAGATGATGAGAACCGTAATCAGCGCCAGATTGCCAGCGTTTCACACCTCTAGCTTGATCACGTCACTCACGAAGCTGGGTGTTTTGCAAGGTTCAGCAAGCTACCGGCGTGAGAGATGAGTCTGGCGCCAACAAGCTCTCCTACCAGCGCAGTCAAGTTGGGCGCAATATTTGCCATCCTAGTCTGCAAGTAGGACCAAAGCTGAGCTCTATATGCGCCAATCTTGACGACTTGTTCTGCCAAGCTCGAAATGTGGCTCAAGTCCGTGTCTGAAATCTCCGTTCCCATACTGATCTCTGCGGCAGCTTTCAATGTTTCCTCCAGCTCCTCCGGCAAAATCTCGCTAAAGTCGGTCGTGCTGCAAGAAGTTCTGAAACCCATGGCAAGCACGCATTTGGAGTAGGCGATGTTGTCCGTGATCAGCTTGCCCATTTCGGGGAAATGCCAGCCGTACCATTCCTTGACCCTCATGGCGTAAATGTTCAGCTCCTTGTCCAGATCGTCCAGAAGACCGACCGCTTGCACGACCATGGTGTCTACCTTGTCCGGGCTGAACTTGAGCTTGTACCGAGACAGACTGTGGCTGAGACCCAATGACATGGTGTTGAGATCTCTAGGGTCGAGGCCGTTCGAAGTAGCGCCATCAGGCGAGCTGAGCGAGAGCAGGGGGGCCAAGTGCTGACGGATGCCTCTGTAGAGTTCCAAGACGGAAGAGTCTGAAGTGACTTGAATGCCTAGCTTTTTGGAAATCGTACCTCCCAACTTGGGATCAGTCACGACCAATTGCTCCTTTTGCTGTGCATCAACGATCTCCGAGGTGAGGAACTTTTTCAGACCTTTGGACATTTTGCCGTCCCCCAATGCCGACACATCCTCCACCGCCTCGGCTGTGGACTGAAACCGATGAATGGCGCTCAGCTTCACTAGACGCGAGGCTGAATCCGCCGATTCAAACTGCTTGTGCAAATCTTTGGACGTCAACGCGCCAGGCTCCGAGAGCCTGAACAGGCAAAAGCCCACTGCGAGTGAGAATGAATGTAGAGCCGCTGTGAGAAATGGACAAGAGAAACATAGGCTGGAACGACCTTGCTTGGGGACTCACCAGCTGTCTCGAACAGTACCAGCACCATCGTGAGCGTGCAGCGAGGTCAGAAGTCTGAAGGTAATGGTCTGGCGACCAGCAATCCGCTGCTCTAGAGCTGAATGACCGACCGTCAGCAGGGCCGCGAATGTAGGTGTGGGACAAGGTGCGAGGTGTATAAAGGGATTTCGGAAAAGATGACTGGGATGTGGAGCGTCAGAGAAAGCGCTGCAACTGGTGATTGTCGTGCGTGCTGTCGCGGCATCCACCGAGCGGATCGAGGTGAGGTGAGGTTCGTCTTCTCAACTTTTTGGTCATGCAGGCATCAAAATTCTCATGCGTTTGGGCTCAAGCCACGTGGTCTGGCGGCGGGGCAGTCAGAGTGAGCGACGCTTGCATGGATGGATGCTGCTTTTGGCTCGTCACGTCGGCGCGTCTCCAAAGCACCCTTCTTGTCACGTGTTGGGACGACACGCAAGTGCGAGCAGTGACGACGCGCACCGACCATGCATCAGCCAACGATGACCTCCATCTGTATAGGCTGACCGAGACCAACTCACGCTCTGCCGCCCACTTCCACATTGCACGGCTTCCTACCAACCGCCGCCATCGACGCAAGCACTTGATCCCACAATTGAATTTGCTGGCTCAAGCACGCACTCACATTCTTGCCTCGCGCGACGCTCTTCCACCTTGCCTCTTGCTCCGCCACCTCCTTCAGCAGGGCGCGCGTTCGACACTCCCACGATGACGCGGCAAGAGGCTGAGCAGACGATTCAAGTGACGTCAGAAGACCCCAAGAAGAAGGAGGCCAAGGAGAAGGAGCAAGAAAGGAAGGATGGCGCATCTAATGGTGCAGGTGTGAATGGGGATGCGAAGGGCAAAGATGCCAAAAAGGAAGATGAGCTGAGCGAAGAGGATTTGCAGCTCAAAAATGAGCTCGAGATGCTCGTGGAGAGACTGAAGGTGTGTCGCTTACGACTGGCTGATACCGAGATCTTGCGGCTGATTGGTCGTATGAAACCGTACTTGTCCACAGGAGAGTGAGAAGGGTTTGTATAGACCTGCACTTGAATCTCTGCGGACGCTCATCAGAACGAGCACGTCAAGCATGACATCTGTGCCCAAACCGCTCAAGTTTCTTCGGCCCCATTATCCTTCTTTGAAAACAATCTACTCGAGTTGGACTTCATCTGAAGACAAAGCCCTCTTTGCAGAAATTCTTTCGGTGCTTGCCATGACATACAGCGACAATGGACACAGGGAGACGTTGAAATTCAGAGTGGCTGCTCGCAGAGTTGGAGGTGCTGAAGACCCAGGTTTGTGGGGTCACGAGTACATGCGGCACTTGGCAGCAGAATTGGGAGAGGAGTACAATGCCAGAGTTCTAGAGGATGACGAAAGCAGACAATCAGGAGACAACACAGATCGGCCATCGGCGGATGAGCTGTTGGATTTGGCACTGCTGATCGTGCCTTTCAGTCTGAAACACAATGCGGAACACGATGCTGTGGACCTCTTGCTGGAGCTCGAGGCCATCGACAAGCTACCGCAATTTGTTGACAAGGATACGTATCAGCGCACCTGTTTATACATGGTTAGGTGAGTGGTGAAACTTATCCAAAGCCACCCTCTCACGCTTGACTGACGCCGCTCATCCCATTGCGCGCCCTGCAGCTGCGTCAACCTGCTTGTGCCTCCCGACGATCTGCTGTTCCTGCAAACTGCTCACGAAATCTACCGAAAGCACGATCGCTTTGCCGAAGCGATGACCATTGCGCTTCGGCTAGGCGATCCGGCACTCATCCGTTCTGACTTCGACGCAGCTGGTAATCCCTTGATGCGGAAACAGCTCGCGTACATGCTTGGCAGACAGCAGGTACCTATCGAGTGGCTTCAGGACGAGGACGCGCCGATCGAGGATTCTCAGATCGTCGATGCCATCAACAATGCTTCCCTCTCGCACCACTTTACAAGCTTTGGCAAAGAGCTCAGCGTGGATGAGCCCAAGAGTCTTGAAGACATCTACAAGTCGCACCTGGACAGCTCAAACACGACGCTGAGCTCCACTGTCGATTCAGCGAGGGGCAATCTGGCCAGCACTTTTGTCAACGCGTTCGTCAATGCTGGATTCGGCAACGACAGGCTGATGGTCGGAGCCGAGGAGGGCAATTCCTGGATCTACAAGAACAAAGACCACGGCATGCTCAGTGCCGCGGCAAGCCTAGGAATGAGTCTGCTGTGGGATACGGAAGTAGGTTTGGGTCACATTGACAAGTACACGTACTCAGCGGACGAGAACATCAAAGCGGGCGCGCTCATGGCGTACGGCATCTTGCACTCTGGCGTGCGGACGGAAATGGATGCGGCCCTAGCCCTGCTGACGGAGCATGTAGACAGCAAGAGCGTTCCGCTGAAGGTCTCGGCTATCGTCGGCATCGGTATTGCTTACGCCGGCTCAGCGCGAGAAGACATCGTGCCTCTGTTGCTGCAGCACGTCGCGGACGAGACAGCACCGATGGAAGTCGCTTCGCTCGCTGCCCTCAGTCTCGGATTTATCTTCGTCGGCACATCTCAAGGAGAAATTGTTCCCACCATCTTGCAAACGATGATGGAGCGCGAGCCTTCTCAGCTCGATGACAAGTGGGCTCGCTTTATGGGTCTTGCGCTTGCTCTGTTGTTCCTGGGCCAGCAAGATGCCAGTGATGCCACAATTGAGACCCTCAAGGCGATTGATCACCCTCTCAGCAAGCAGAGTCAAGTTCTAGTTGACATGTGCAGCTTTGCCGGTACGGGCAATGTGCTGAAGATCCAGACCTTCCTGCACGACTGCTTGGAACACCTCGGCACGGACGACAAGAGTGATGATGAAGACGGCGGGAACGAAGAAGGTCCGGGTGCATCTGGCGCGAACGGCGCTTCTTCAGAGCATTCTAAAGACGACAAAGAGAAGGAGAAACCGAATGACACTTTCCAAGGCTTTGCGGTCATCGGAATCGCCTTAGTCGCCATGGGAGAAGACGTTGGATCGGAGATGGTCTTGAGGCACATGGGCCATTTGATGCACTACGGCGAGCCCGTGGTGCGGAGAGCGGTGCCCTTGGCCCTGGCTCTGTTGAACCCGTCCAACCCAGAAGTCAGCTTGTTGGACACGCTATCTAAATACTCGCACGACAACGATCTGGATGTCGCCATCAACTCCATCTTGGCCATGGGACTGGTCGGCGCGGGCACAAACAATGCTCGTCTGGCCCAAATGTTGAGACAATTGGCGAACTATTACCACAAAGAACCGGACTCTCTGTTCATGGTGCGGGTAGCCCAGGGTCTGATTCACATGGGCAAGGGAACGATCGGATTGACGCCTTTCCACACCGATCGACAATTGATGAGCCGGACTGCGGTGTGCGGACTGCTGGCCACACTCGTCTCCTTCACCGAAGCTAGAGGCTTTGTCCTGGACAAATCTCACTGGATGCTCTATTGGCTCGTCTCGGCCATGTATCCACGTTTCTTGATCACCCTGGACGAAGAGCTCAAGCCTTTGCCCGTGTCTGTGCGCGT